CAGTTTGAAACCACCAGTCACTCCTTGGGAGAAAGATGGGGCTTTCTACTCCCGTAAACAGTTACAGTCTAGGGAACTCACAGGGGCAGTTCTGCCCTGTTCTGCAGGGTCACTATGAGTCAGTATCGATTCAATGGCATGAGTTTGGGCTTTTTGGTGATTGAGTCAGAATTGTCTCGTGTGGTATATGTGAGTGTGTGTGTGTGTGTGTGTGTGTGTGTGTGTTCCTGTTGATGGTTATAATCCCAATTTGGAATGGGTTGTCATTATTATGTAAATGAGGGAAGGTTAATAGAGGGTGCATCTTGAGTCAATCCTTTTTTGAGATTTAGAAAGATTAAATCAGGCGGCAGAGGAGAGATGGGGTAAATTAGATGTCAAGATTCATGAAGGTCCCCAAGGAGCCATCCCTTGTGTTATTTTTGTTATGGCTGCACCGGATAACTAAGCTACGAGGTAACTCATGTCGGGTATTTTTCTGTGCCATACTTTTATCATGCTTCTATATGCTTAAATAATCCTCTAATGGAGACATGAAAATCCCTGAAATTTAGGGAGGTCATGGTTAATAAGTGACAGAACTAGAATTTTATCCCAAGTCTGTTACCGTGTCAGAGTCTACAGTTTTTCTACTGAGCTATACTGATAGCACAAGGGCGCTGGTGAAGCATTGGTAGCTAATGAAAAGGTAACAGTGACTGGGAGGAAAATATGGCAGTCTGCTTCTATAAAGATTACAGCCTTGGAAACCCACGGGCAGTTCTGCTCTGTCTTACAGGGTTGATATGACTTGGAATTGATTTGATGGCAGTGAGATCTTTTAATTTTTATTTTTTTATAACTTACTCGATTACTCATTGCTACCGAGTTGATTACGACTCATAGTAACCCTAGAAAACGGTATAACTGCCCCTGTGGGTTTCTGAGATGGTAACATTTTACAGGAGGAGGAAGCCTCGTCTTTCTGCCTTGGATTGGATGGTGGTTTTGAACTGCTGAACTTGTGGTTTTCAGTCCAGTGCATAACCACTATAACACCAGGATTCTTTTTGTGTGTGTGTATAAACTGCTTATTTGTTTAAAGCCAGAGTGGGTCTTTAAAAAAAAATCATTTATTGGGGGCTCATACAACTCTTATCACAATCCATACATACATCAATTGTGTAAAGCACATTTGTACATTCGTTGCCCTCATCCTCAAAACATTTGCTCTCCACTTAAGCCCCTGGCATCAGCTCCTTTCCCCCCCACCTTCCTCCCGGGTTCCCCCTCCCTCATGAACCCTTTCTAATGGATAAATTATTATTTTGTCATATTTTACACTGTCCAACATCTCCCTTCACCCATTATTCTGTTGTCCATCCCCCAGGGAGGAGGTTATATGTAGATCCCTGTAATCGGTTCCCCCTTTCCACCCTACCCTCCCTCTACCCTCCCGGTATTGCTGCCAGAGTGGAGCTTTAAAAGTCTAAATATTTGATGCTAAGGGTAGAATTTAGCTGGGGCATTGCTTAAAGATGCTATTAGTTTTAGAATGCCTAGTGCATTTTTGTGTTTGTTTCTCTTTAAACCATTCCCTATTCTCCTCTCCTCCAAGGACTGTTAAGTAGCACGGAAGCTGGGAGTGCAACAGATCTCTGTATTGAAGGTAAGGTGAAATTTGCATTCTAGCATTTGAAGCCGGGAATGTTCGCCCTAATTGCAGCCCTGGTTATTTGAGACCTTGGTAAAATGTTCCATTTAGAGAGAAAGAAAACTCAATTAGTTGTCAGTCATTACTTGACATGTCTTTATGGGGCATCTACTCTGTGCCTCTGATGAATAAAACATGGTCCCTGCCTCCTAAGAGCTTACAACCCGGAGGAAAGATTGTCTGGTAAATAATTACTACTACCGAGACATGTGCAAAACTTTAAAAATTATATTCATATTAGTTGGTTGGAAGTAGATAGTGGTTAAAGCAATGGAAGTACATGAGTTTTACCTACAGAGGAATTTTAAAGTAAGAAGGGAAGAGAACTGGGCTGGGAGGATGCCCACAGAGAGAGTGAGGATTATATTAGTTAGGAAACAGAAACCACATCAGTTATTTGAACAGAAAAAAAATACTATGAAGAATTACTGAATATAATTATCATATGATTCAGCAATTCCATTCCTAGGCATCCAAAAGAATTGGAAACAGGGACACAAACAAATACTTGCACACCAATATTCATATCAGCATTTTTCACATTAGCCCAAAGGTGGAAATAACCTAAATGTCCACCAGCAGATGAATAGATCAACAAAATGCGATACATACACACAATGAAATATGCCGTAGAGGAAGACTGAAGAAGAATTGATGGATTTCAGTTATGGTGCTGGAGAAGAATATTGAAAGTTTAAACAAATATATTGAATGTACCATAGACTGCCAAAAGAACAAACAAATCTGCCTTGGAAGAAGTACGGCCAGAGTGCTCCTTAAAAGCAAAGATGGCGAGACTTCATCTCATATATTTTTGACATTATTAGGAGAGACTAGTCCCTGGAAAAGGACATCATGCGTGGTAAAGTAGAAGGAAGACCCTCAATGAGATGGATTGACACCGTGACTGCAAGAACCGGCTCAAACATAGCAGGAATTGGAGGAATGTCACAGCACCAGGCAGTGTGGTCTGTTACACAGAGGGTTGCTATGCATAGGAACTGACTTGCCAGCAGAGGGAGATATGACGATTCCCAAGGATGAACCCTGAAAACCTTATGCTAAATGAAATAAGCCAGACAGAAAAGGAAAATTATTGTATAATCTCACTTATATGACATCTAGGACAGACAAATTCGTAGAGACAGGAGATTATCAGTTACCAGGGGCTGAGAAGGGGTCGAGGTGTTACTTAATAGGTATTAAGTAATATTATTTAATAGTTTCTATTTAGTGTGTTGAGTAGATAGTGATATTTGTTGCACAGTATTGTGAATGTACTTGGTGCTATTGAATTGTACATTAAAAAATGGTTAAATGCAAAATTACATTATGTTTTTTCAAAAGAGAATTATTAACTAGGTAACTGAAGAGGCCAAAAGAGACCATCAAGCTTTCACAGAGGTAGCAATCACAGGAAGCAGCTCCCACTCTTAAGGCTGGGGAAACACAGAGGTTGCAATTGGTAACATTTAAAAGTGTGGAGGAAGAGCCCCATGGGCTGGGACCCAGACCCCTGAGGAGGGGTTCTGACCAGGTGACGGCTGATATATCCTGGAGAGCAGGAATATAATGGGACTGGATCTGCACAATTGCAAACTAAGGGGAAGGCGTTGACCCTCCCAGAATGAAGGTCTGGTGACACAGGCATAGGAAGTAGAAGAAGCAAGCAGGAAGCCCAAAGAAGCAGGAGCAAATCCCTTCTTCCTACAGCCTTGCTGTCATCTTTTTGTAGTGTCCATTATTGGTAGAGCCTAACCGTGGGTCATCTAGAAAAGCAGAAATGTAGAGCGAGGAGGTAGATCTGACCTATCTTGTGTGTGTGAGTGAATGAGTGTGTGTGTGTATGGGGGTGGGGACTCAGCTTGTGTTGGTGGTGACTTCTCCCTCCCTTCCCCCCTGCTTCTTGGGCTGTTGAGTGCCCCTGCTGCCAGCCCTGCAGGGAGGGGGCATGTCACCCCCCTCCCCCAGGGAAGCGTCAGCCTCTAGGGAGTAGGGCAGGAAGGGGGAGGCTGGCGCAGGACAGAGGTTTTTTATTGAGGGCCAGTGATGATGTTTTGGTATTTTTTTCCCTGCTACTGAAATTTAAGTCTGAGTCTGAGTGAATTGCCCCAATTTCTGATGATGTTGTCATTACAAAGCAACAGGTTCATAAAGTAATGATCAAATCTTCCTTTCCTTCTGTGTGCATTTCTAAGAAATAGAGCCAACTGGTTTTGTATGTAAATACCAAGAGCGATTTATTTGGTAAATATTGGTGTGGCCCATCCTCACCCCCCAGTCCCTGCCTCCCACCTGGAGCTAATCTCCATTCCTCAACCTAGCCTGGCTCTGGCTGTGGTCATCGGGTCCCTCAAGGGTTTCGTGTTCAGGCTTCATTTCTCTGTCCTCTCTTACACCATTCCTGGCATTTGCTGATTTCTAATGTATACTCTTTAGTCTCTGTCCATGTTTGATTCCATTCCATGGAAATAAAAAGTGTGTTGTATGTACTGCCGAAGACTTGTCTTGCAAGTTAAGGCTTCCACCTTTACTATGACTATAAATAAAACCTTATTCTATCCTTTTAAAAATAAGGTAGTTTGTAGAGTTCCAACCCCAGCATCCCAAAGCAAAGTACAGAAGGGCAGATTTTGAACAGAGACATCAGAATAATAACTGATTTTGCCTGTTCTTTGTCTGATTGTCTTTCTCACGCACTTTGTCATGCTCCATATATTTGAATTTCCATATTCTTAGTTGTTAGGTGCTGTCAAATCCATTATCAAGTCCTTTCTGATGCATAGTGACCCTGTGTACAACAGAATGAAACACTGCCCAGTCCTGCACCATCCTCACAGTTTTTCTTATGTTCATACTAAAAGTGGGGTACGAATTACCCACTAAACCTCAGAAGCAGAAAATTTCGGTGGGCACTATATGCCTCATGGACCACAAAAAGATTACATTAGTAGAGCTCTAGGTGTGGGTCACTAGAGGGAGATTGCAAGACTGGAGGGAGAAGGAACCCCTATGGAGCAAAGCTGCTTTGCACACTTGGGGTTGCATGAGTTAGTGACACCATGAGACAGCTAACAGCAGGTGATTCGAATGTGCAGCCTCAGCTGAATACAAAACGAGAAGCATCCAAAAACCCTTTGGTTGGATGTGCACACACAGTTTAGCTTTGGAAATAGAAAAGAGTAATAACAATTATTATAAGGAAACCACTGTCATGCATTGACTGAGTAGAGGGTATGATCAGTGAATTCTGGCTTACTGTTGTCTTCTGGTCAGTGATGCTATTATGTTTGTTCAGTCCTTATCCAGCTTATAATACAGCTGAAGCTGGAGCAGACCGTCCATTGCCTCCTGAATGAGTGCCACAGGCAGGTCAGTATATAACACTGCTTTCTTTTTGTGTTATGTCTAAGAAATATTCATAACTCTGCCCCCTGTCCGTTTCACCACATCTGTGGATATATGTGCGGCAAAGGTAGATACATATAAACACATCTCTGTCCAACATATATGTATATGTATGTGTACATATATGTATATATATTCCTGGTTTTGCGCCCATTCTCCCTCCCACATTTGTTTAGCCTGAATGTCTATCCAAGCATCTATGTTTCATACCCTTAGAATCTTCCTGGACCAGAGCCAAGTCAAGCCCTCCTTCAGGGAGATGGGGTACTGAAGTCCAGAGAGGAAAAAGGCATTCTTTACCTGAAGTCTCTTGAGTTAGCGTCAGAGCCTGAGCTAGGGCCTGGGTCTTTGGATCCTGACCACACCCTTTCTCACCCTTCTGGTCTCCCAAATGCTCCTTCTCTGTAGCGAAGTCACAATTATTCCCTGGACCATTCTCTCTATCCTCGTAGATACAATGTAGATTTTCCTTGATATATTCATAAGCATATATGTTCCCTATGTCTTGGTTTGGTGTAGGAGCTGACCCACAATTGGATGGGTCCTAAGGACAGTTGTGTAACTGAAGGGAATAAATAAGCAGACAAAAGATTTTGGGTGCTCACCTCCTCCATGAAGCCAGATCCAAGAGGGAGAGAGAGCAAATGTATTTAACAATATCTTTATAAAGTCTCAGGACATGCATACCTCATCTATTACATGCATAATAAAGTGGGCAGTATCTTAACCCTTGAGGTTCCTGAGCTCTTTGGGGAGAAACCCAATACCAGCATTGGGGGCAGGCAGAGGGGAGTCGACTGCCCCTTGAACAGGGAGCATGTCTGCTTCTATAGATAAGAACCTCTGGCCATACAGTAATTAGCCTTGTGCTTATATGAGGTAACATTAAGGTAACACTATTATGGAAGGCTATTGTATTGTGGGGATGGTTTTTAATTAGGAGAATGTGACTGGGACTCATGCCCAACTCATAAATGTGAAGGCCTCCCTCCACCCAGAATCCTGGCCTTCCAGGCTTCTTTAATCATGAGCATAGAGAATTGGCCCACATACACTCTTCCTGGTCCTCAGTTTCCCACAGTTTGGTGTTTTCATTTTATATATTTACTTTGTAATATATAGAGCCATTTGCTTTTCCCAGCATTAAGAGAAGTACTGAGTTCAAACAAAATAAACTGCCCCCTAACTCGCTGCCATCGAGTTGATGCCAACTCATAGTGACTCTCAGACAGAGTAGAACCGCCCCTTGAGTTTTCTTAAAAAGTTTTTTTTTGAGATATATAAGTATTATATTAAAGTCATCGAGAGCATGAGAGCTACTACAATAATGCAGTTGGACGTATTACATGGTAGCATTGCTCACCTCAGCCCAGCTTGGTGGTCCACGTGGAGAGAGGGGAAAGGGAAGGAGGGCAAGGGAACAAGGGAGAGGGGGAAGAGAGGGGAGTGACCAGGGAGTGAGCAGCAAGGAGGGGAGATCAGAGAGTCAGAGAGGTCCAAGAGCTCTATATTGCTGACCTACGCCTATGTACCTTTTGGGGGCATGCCAGCCCACTAATTACAGATAGAGACTTACGTCACAAGGAGGAGCTGCACTAAAGGGTACACAACAATGAAAGGGTGATCTAGGGGTCTCCATAGGAAAAAGTTTTAATTAAAAAAAAAGTTTTAATAGCCCCTTATCCACATGTCATACAATTCAATTATTCAGTCATATCAAGAAGAGTTGTGCAATTGTCACCATATTTAATTCTAGAACATTTTCTTCTTCCTGTAGTCACTATTCTTCGTGTAATTATTATTTTTCTAATTGTGGCAAAAGCAGCATTCTCTAATTGCACAACTTCTACTTGTATAATTCAGTGTCGTTGATTATGCGCTTCATGTTGTACAACCTTTACCAAGTTATTTTACCACCATTGACATAAACTCCAGGCCCCTGTGCAACAACTCTTTCTCCCCTTCCCCTACGGTGACCATTGGTTAGTTTGGCTTCTTTTTTTCCTCCCCATGGTTCTCTTGATACAGTATTCACATATCATACATGTTCATGGATAAATTGCTTTTAAAAATGAGTTGGATATGCATATATGCATAATCACAATAAGTTCTAGTGCTACTTCCCCCAGTCCTGCATTCATTGTTTGCTTCCCAAATCCCCTCACCCTCTCTATCGACCCCCGCGCCATCCCTGATTAACCATTGCATCAGTTATTATCTCTGTGCATATACTCCTTCTGTACTTCACAAACTGGGGAACCCAACAGAAAAAAAAAACAAAATAAAATGGCAAATATAAAATAATAGTAATATAAAGATAAAAATACAAATAATGAGTAAGAAAGAAAATACCACCATCAATATTTAAAAGGACAGGGGAAAAAATTTGTCGTGGAACAAGCAAGAAGTACTTAAGCATAGAACAAATTCAGATTGGGTCGAGTGGGAGGTCAACTGACCATTCAAGTATCAAGTTTGACCCAAGTTTACAATGGTGTCTAATAGTAAAGCTGTTTGAGTCCCTTGCCTGGGGCTGGAGGGGATCTGCCAGAGGCTTAATCTGCGTAGATACTCTGCAGATGGGTTTTGGGCTCCCATTGTTCTCTAACTTTCTACAAATTGGGTGTTTACAATTTAAGCTATGGTACTTATTTGAAGAAATACCCTTCTTCTTATTTAGATTTTGTTGTCATCTTTGTCATCACACAAACTGATGTACTTCTTTCATGTGAATTTAGTTGACTCCTCACTTAGATGGCTGCTTGTTTGAATATAAGCCTTTAAGACCCCAGACACTATTCCAATTGGTAGCTGGGAACCATCTGCTTTCTTCATCACATTTTGCTGTAGCACCCTTCAGTTATCTCTTCATGAAGGCAAGTGGCAAAGCAGGGGCAGGTTATAAGAACTAATTGTTCTTGAATTGGGGATATCGTTAAGTGGGATCCCAGAATCAATCTGCTTGTCCATGGGTTATACACGACTGTGGTTTACTTTGATGGTTGCAAAACCCTGTAAGACCACCAACAGCAACCAAAAAAGAAAAACATTTGTCAGTCATCTTCGTGGAGTATAAAGTGATTGTATTGATAACATTAATATTTTCAGTGACCCAGAACATGAGACACTGTCTAGAGCTCCTATAGGCTCTGAGTAGGTATGTTTAACTTTTTTTTGTTTCATAAAATCTAACATACAGTGAAACAAATAGCATTTGTTTTGTTTTTTTAATCATTTTATTAGGGGCTCATACAACTCTTATCACAATCCATACATCAATTGTGTAAAGCGCATTTGTACATTCATTGCCCTCATCATTCTCAAAA